TCCCGGCTCCCTCCCGGCTCTTTCCCGCACTCACGGCTCCCGGCCCTCAGCCCGCGGCAGGCCGACGGTCCCGCCATGTTCCCCCCGCCCCGGTGCCGCCTCCCCGCGCTCCGCCGGAAACACCGCAGCGGCCGTTCGGTTCCGCCGCCCCTCCGCGCGCGGCCGCCGGGCGGCAGAAGCTGTCCGGGCCCCGCTCCCCTCAGCAGCCTCGGCACCAGGCACAGCCACAGAATGTATTCTGCCTTGGGAGGACGCTCAGCGAACATCGGAGAATGTCATTCTGGTGGATGAGAGGCTGGACATGCCCCAGCCGTGTGCGCTGGGAGCCCAGAGCCCCCCGTGTGCTGGGCTCAGCCACAGCCCCGTGGGCAGCAGGGCAGGGAGGGGATTCTGCCCCTCTGCCCCGCTCTGCTCAGACCCCACCTGCAGTGCTGCATCCAGCCCTGGGCTCCCAGCACAGCAAGGACATGGAGCTGCTGCAGCCAGCCCAGAGGCATCAGAGGGATGGAGCCCCTCTGCTATGAGGAAAAGCTGAGAGATCCGGGGCTGTTCAACCTGCAAAAGATAAAGCTTTGGAGTGCCCTAACTGTGGCCTTCCAGCAGCTAAAGAAAACTTTCAGGAAAGAGAGGCAAGACTATTTACCAGAGCTTGTCRTGACAGAACAAGGAAAAATGGCTTCAATAGAAAAAGAGTAGGTTTAGATTAAAAATAAGGAATAAATTCTTCCCTGTGAGGTGGTGAGGCCCTGGCACTGGTTGCCCAGAGRAGCTGTGGCTGCCTCATTCCTAAGAAGTGTTCAAGGCCGGGTCAGATGGGGCTTGAAGCAACCTGGTCTAGTGAAAGGTGTCCCTGTCCATGGCAAGGGGTTAGAATGAGATCATCATTAAGGTCCCTGCCAACCCAAACCATTTTGTTAATCTTTGTATTTGGAGTCCAACTCTTGGCCCTACACAGAACAACCCCAAGAATCCCATTACCATGTGCCATATTTTCTCTTCCCTGTCCAGTTGAGGAGGAGAGTGATAGAGTAGTTTTGGGGGGCACTCAGTATCCAGCCAGSGCCAACCCCTCACACCTTTCAACTGTCCTTCCTCCCCAAAAGATTAAACGCAAGCAGAAACTAGCTGCTGCCCATGTAGGAAAACGGTGATTCACATTGAAACTTACTAAAATTTGTGAAATAACTTAAAAGTTCATTTTGATGCTTTAGCTGATGATGGTCATCATCACAATCCTCAGTTGGCAGTGRTATAACAGTGGCCATCATGAAGCCAATGTCAGACAGTTACTGACACTGAATTAGTGTCATAAAGAGCTAAAGCAAGTAATTAAGCTCAGCATAAAAAAAAAATACATGGAATTTTCCACTGTGGAAACACATCTGTGGAGCAGTGGGACACCTTTGCTTGGTACCTGGCACTGGCTTCCCTGTTCACCTGGGCTCTCATCCAGAAAACCAGATGTGTGAGTATGGTAGCTATTTGTGCACTTCATTACATTATTTGATAGATTAAGAATTTCAGCAAGTCAATCATCCTGCTTTCTCATTTTTAAAATTAGTTAAATACAGGTTACTTAGAATGATGCTGCTAATATTTGTGCAATTACAGCTCAACTACACAATTTCTCCTATTAACTCAAGGATTCATATGCAGCCAATGATCACATGACGAACATTTTGGTTTAAATAGTTAAAAATACATAAGCAAAACAAGGTCAGTAGTGTAGGATATAAAAAGAACACTTTTATTCTACTAGTAGATAAATGCAGAATGTTCCGAGAATGAGAGGCAGAAGCTAATCCTGTTCTGTCACTCTGAGGGAGTACTGAATGACAGAAGTGATAACTGCACACTTTATTATACGTATCTGTCTTTTTWAAACTGGCACTTCCTAATCTCTAAACCTTCTTTTGTACAAATATTTGCAACTTTYTATTCAGCTGAATCCTCATGAAAAAATGATGGTAAGATATCTGCTCCCTCCTTTTACTTGTTTGGTGTGGCTCTGAAAGCATAATGCAGATTAAAAAAAATCTGGGATTTTTAACACACTGAAGACTAGAGGAGGAGAGAAGTCATCTGCCCTTTGGTAACCCTCAGCTAACAGAATGRCAGTGCAAACCAAAATCAGAGAAAATCAAAATCAAAATACATCCAAAGGTGCTGGAAATTTCACCCAGGGTTCATTGAGAGMAGCTTTGTGGACAAAGACTTGGGGGTCACRGTTRATGAAAAACTCAGCAYGAGCCGGCAGTGAGYGCTCATARCTCAGAMAGCCAATTGTGTCCTGGGCTGCATCCAAAGGAGCRTGGGCAGCCCYRTTATTGATCTCTGAATKCCCAAASAAAAACACCTTCCAACTGACAAGTRTTCTGGGAAGGGTTTRACTGAAGTCCAGTGGCTTTTGACAGGTCACATCACTGAGCACATTTTTGGTGCAGAGAAGAGGTGGGTAACACAACTGTCCAACAATAATTGCAACCTAACAGTCTTCATTAAGCCCTTTAACTTTCAGGAAAACTGTGTCTATTATTTTATAATGGTCAGAAAATAAGAGGTTGCCCTCTGAAGCAATAGGAACCCTGTAATTGCTCTTATGCCAAGGTATGTCATCCAACAGGAATGTGTAAGCAATAAACTGTGACCATTTATCACCCTCATGGTCCCAAAGCCAGTTCTGAGCTCACTTACAGATTGCTTCGAAAGTAAAACTCACTTGAAAACTCCTGTGCCTCCCTTTGCCATTCTTGGCTGTTTCTCACTGCTYGTCCTCTAGGTAAACAACTGTAGCAGCAGGCACTGAACACAAAGTCGCTGAAGTGATACAAATTGCAGGATCAGTACTGCTGAAAGATAATGTTTTTTTCACATGTTTCACATTATCTCTTACTSTCTTACCGTGCACAAGCAATGTGAGAGCAGTAATCCATGGCCAGAAGCAGCAACAGCCTTGTAAGACAACACACAGTGTAACTACATCTTAAGAGGTGTATTCTTCATAGCACCATAGAATTATAGAATCATGGAATCATTAAAGTTGGGAAAGCCCTCCAAAAGTCCAATCTTTGACTGAATACCACCACATCCACTAAATCATATCACAAGGTGCCACATCTACTCATTTTCTGAACGTTTCCACCACTTCCCTGTGCAGCCTGTTCCAATGCTTTACAACCCTTTCTGTGAAGATATTTTTCCTAGTATCCAACTTGAACCTTGTCTGGCACAACTTGAGACCATTTCCTCTTGTCCTATCACTTGTTACTTGGGAGTGGAGACCAACCCAGCTACACCCTTCTGTCATGTAGTTGTAGAGAATGGTAAAATCTCCCCTGAGCCTTCACTTTTCCAGACCAAGCAACTCCAGCTCCCTTAGCTGCTCCTCATTAGACTTGTACTCCAGACCCTTCCCCAGCTTCAGCTGCCCTTCTCTGGACATGTTCCAATGCCTCAATGTCCTTCATGAACTAAGGGGCCCAAAATTGAGCACAGGATTTGAGGTGTGGYCTCACCAGYTGTCRTGTTCCAACTGTGGGGAACTGCGAGGAGTTCTTTTWAAATGGATGGTTGAGAAGCAAATGAAGTCAAATGAGACAAACTTTGTATCTGAGATCCGTTTATTGGTAATGAAAACGAGAATAAGTAGTTGCCCAATAACGGGGGCTGGAAAAGACAGCACAGGAGAAAGGAAAATGGAAAATGAATGGGGAGAGAGAGAAAGGAGACAGAGGGAGAAAGCGGGTGTTACCATCAGTAGGACCGGGGAGTGCCGTTGACGTCCACAGGACAGGGGTGAACACGCTGCTGCTGGAAGGAGAGCAGCTCAGGGAGAGGAGTGCAGTTCCCACAGCGATGGGCTGCCGGACACACAGTGAGTGGACACTTGGACAGGTTCAACACCCTGGGTGCAGTCGAGGAGAGGATCATGGCGGCGAGCAAGATCGGAGGCAGGCAGGCGGCTCAGGCAGGACAGGCAGCTCCTTTGAGAAGCTTCTGGAGGCTTCCACCATGTCGAGCAGAGCCAATTGCTGTTGGCTCTAATGATGATGGACATGCCACTGACCAAATCCCCTGGAGGAGGGAGGTCCCCACGCCGGAGCGGGCGGACGCCGAGAAGGGGCTGTGTCCAGCAGGAAAGCCATGGAGAGAGAGGCCTTGCTCCCGAGATGGAACAGCCTGGCCTTGGGCCTGCACCCAGGGGATGAGGGACCCCAGGGTGCAGCAGTTTTGGGACGACTGTCTGCCCGTGGGGGGACTCACGATGCAGCAGATGTGTGTGGACTGCTGCTCGTGAGGGTGGAACCGCGCCGGAGAGGTTCACAGAGAACTGTCTCCCGTGGGAGGGACCCCACGGCAATGCAAGGGAAGGACTCCTCTCCCTCAGCTATCACAGAGGATCCGGTGATGAACTGACCATCCCCACACCCTGAACTGACCAACCCCACACCCTGAACTGACCAACCCTGAACTGACCAACCCCACACCCTGAACTGACCGACCCCACACCCTGAACTGACCAACCCCACACCCTGTTCACCCCCTGCTGCTTTGTACTGTTGGTGGGAAGCGGGGAGGGAGTGGGGAGAAGATCGGTGTCTTTAAGGATTTTATTTCATTACTCATTCTCCTCCTCTGACTTTGTTAGCAATAAATTCACTTCATAACTTAAGTAGAGCCTGTTTTGTCCATCAAGCATTTCCTCCCTGCTCCTATCTCAACTCATGAGCCCTTTTGTTAATTTCTTTTTCCCTTCACTCTTCTCTGCCCAGTGGTGGAGGGGGAGAGCAAGTGAGCAGGTGTTGTGGGTGCCTGGCTTTTAGCCAGCATTCTAAATGGACACCAGCCTTCTTACGCTCTCCATTGGTGAAGACCTTCCACCTTCTGATAGGAGAAGCGTCTTTGGGGGTGCAGTGTCTCCATCTGACTGCGTGTGCCATGTGAGGTGTTGCCAGGCAAAATCCCCCCAGAGACAAGGCTTCACCCATCTCCTGGTTGCCTTCCGCAAGCTGCACGTGTGCACCCCTTCCCCCACCTGCCTCTGACAACCAGTGTTGAGGCAAACCAAGATTAAAATGGCTCCTCACACCAGTGCTGAGTGCAGG